GCCAACACACGCAACATGAGGCCTCGGTTTTTTTTTTTATTTTCATCCAAATAATTGGTCTCCTGTCCCTCAGTAAGATTCAAACCATAGAGGTAAGGATCAACTCCTTACTCCGGGACTCTAAAGCAACAGTGCAACCACTGAGCCACGCAGGTGACTCGTCTCCTTGTAATATAAATATACCAAAAGTGTAATCTCAGCGATATTCCGTAGAGACTAAAATTTGTGGTCTAGCTGGTGTCTTAATGGTACTTTGAGATGCTAGACCAAAAGTTTTAGTCTCTTCGAATCTCGCTGTGATTAACCAACAGTGGTGTAAATTAATACTTCAAGGGCTTTTTATTGTTTAACGTCCCTCTCGAGAATGTTTCACTCATCTTGCTCATATGGAGATGCCACTACTTGCCGGTGGAGGACTGCAAATTAATAGCTATACTCGAACTCGGCACTTCGGGTCATTGAGTAGTGCTAAAGGGATCTTTTTATTGTCAATGCCTACTACGACATGGGACCTCGGTTCTACGGTCTCATCCGGAAGGGTCTCCACACCCTGCAGTGTGTTTGAACCTACGGCGTAAGGATCCTTACTTTGCGACTCTAGACCAGACTTTTTAACCACTGTGCCACGTTTTTGGTAAATGCCATAAAGCCCTTGTTCTGTTTAACGAAAAAAAAAAAAAAAAAAAAAACTACAACTAAGACCAGTATATATTTTTATTGTGCGAGTGAATATTTTCTTGATTTCTTGATATTTAGAAAGGTCTTCTTAGACATATATAATTATATTATCAGGTAAGCAAGGTGAAGAAAATAGCTAAAATTGTTCGAAAGGGGTTCCCCATATACATCATCCTTCCTGTGTCAAGCAAATGAAATTCTTTTTCTCGTGTTTTTAAATTGCCAGTACTGGCGTTTTATGTCACTTTAATAATTTGCAAGTACTATTTTCTATTTCTAAGTTATTTACAGGTTTTTTCAGGTGGTCAGTTAACAAGTGTTGGGTCGTTCACAGATTCTGAAAAGCTGTGTTTATATCGTTGGTCTTATTCACCTTATTGATTCTTGTTCATTATTATAGATGTGCTTATCGTATCGTTGGTCTTATTTACCTTATTGGTTCTTGTTCATTATTATAGACCTACGACGATTATATTTGGGGCTTTAATTTGGAAGGAAAACAGCACGACAAGTCCTTGACTCCTGACTAAGGAATTACGCAGTTAAAGCTGACATGAACTCTTAAAAAGCCATCATTTTTCATCTTTGCACGACTTACTACATTCCTGTACGCCTTTGTCCGCCATATTTCTTCGATTCCGCCATATTTAATTGAAAATTTTCGGTCACCTGTACCTGCTATATATAGCCTTGTACGATTGCTTCACTTGAGTGATTTTCTAGCCTGACTGTCGACATGTACACATCTCCGATAACAAAGTTTTTAGAAGTCCATAAACTGACCAAATACATGTTTGAAAAGTAAAAATTCAACAAAAAAATAGAACTATACCGAGAATTAAATTATTTTTGAATGCATTTGCTGCAATATAGAAAATAAACTAACACGGAATAAATACATGTACATCAAACACCCATGCAGGTCGAGAAAACGCGTCAAACGCAGTGATAAAAACATTTACCTGACTACTGCTATCGTTACAGGGATGTGCACATGTCGAAAGAATTATCCTATTTTACTTTTATTGAAAAATGCATCTCAGAAGTCATGTAATCCATTGCTGACTCAACAGTAAAAGATGCTTGGACACACGTGGCCCATGCCGATCATTTTATTTGGTCAGGGAAAATATCAAAGGTTGAAAGCTCAGTGGGGTTTATTGAAAAAAAAATGCAAGTAATTTTTCAAAAATAAACATTACTCTTGTCTGTACATGTTGTAAATAAAATTTACGATTAAGTACATGGTTTAACTTCATCAAATTCATTTAAAAAAAGCAGGCATTATTACGAATCATTCACCTTTTGAAGATATTTTCCCGTGATATGGGGGGGGGGGGGGGTGTAATAAAACATGCATAACACTCTCATAAAAATAATGTAAGAAAAACGTCTGAAACAGATTGGATTTCTTTATGATCAATTATTATCAAATAAATATTGTGTAATGGCTTTATTAGACCTAATATAATTTGATTTAAAGTTATTTAATCTTATGCACTATGAAAGAAAAAGTGAGCACGTTCACATACCCCACGCTCCCCCAAAAGTCGAAGTAGTGCTGAAATTCCCAGAAAAAAATAAAGGAATCGTAATTTCCTTGTAATATGCACATCTATACACATTGTGTCCTAAATATCTGCAAAGTTTGACGAAATTGTGTGCAGCGGTTTATGAGGAGTTGCGCTGACAAACTGCTCACCTCTATATTCAAGATATGGCCAAAATCTAAATGTAAAAGTGCGGAAATTCCCGAAAAATAAAGAATTCGGAATTTCCTGGTGATGTGCAAATCTACACACACATTGTCTCCTATAAATATCTGCAAAGTTCGACAAAACTCTGTACAGTGGTTTATGAGAAGTTGCGCTGACCAAAAAAAAAAAAAAAAAAAAAAAAAAAAAAGACTGACTGACGGGTCAAAAACATTAAACCTCACGCGTGGGGTATAATAAACGAGTTTGATTCTTTGGTACAATGATAATGAAAATAGAATTTAATGTAAATTAAATTTCTAGACATAAATAAGTAATGATTATTAGAAAAAGCATATAGGAAGAGAGTAAACTCCTCGTGAGAATTCCACATTCTACCTAAAACTAGCTTTTTAAAAATTCTCTTGTCTGTTGTCCAAGTTCGACACATGTATACGTTTGAGAAGGTATTCGAGAAAGTTCCCAATGTTCCCATTCCTGTGATTTATATTTCACGTTTATTATATCCCCCGCCTGAAAAGTGGGAGGTAATCGTTATGTCCGTTCGTCTGTCTGTTACGCTTTGGGGTAACCATCTCTTATCCGCAAATCCTGTTACATCACTTAGAGAAATTTAATGAAACTTTCAAAGAATGTTAAGTTTATTACAGATTACCATTATGCACCTCATATTTCACTTTTTGATCTGACACGTATGGGTTTAGCGAAATATGGACTTTGCCATTATAACCATATGGGAGGCAGGGGGTATCATTTAATGAGTTCATTGCTCATAATACATGTACGTCTAGTTTCTCTTTCAATTTGGGCGTCTGGGTTAATTTCCTATCCAAAGTAAAATTATTATTCAATTTATGAAGTTTCGACATCCCGCCTGAAAAAAATCCTTGATCTGTCCTAAGGCATAATAAATGGTACAGCACAAAGTGCGTAGGATTTTATACCTATCATTGCCTCAACGGGTGGTTACAGACAGAGAGAGAGAGAGTTCAATATACAAAAGAATAAATAATAATTATCCGTATTCAACCAGTGTCAAGTATCCCTACCCTAGCTTTTAAAATTATCTCCCAAATTCACCTACAGAAATTATTTATATATATTTAAAAAAAATACCTAGACTATCAGGCAGGGATACTGTAATCTCGAAATACTTCCTGTAACAACATAATTATAAAACAGTTACATTCCTCAAAATGCACATACTTTGTGGTCGGAGTGACACATTTTAAAAAAATCTCAAAACTGAATTCGGCAGAAATGTCTGTCTTCCAAGAATATTTAAATAACGGTCATGTCAATTATTTTTGTATGCCCCCCCCCCGTCCAAAAAATCAAATGCCTTAATATCAATCTGAACAGGGGATGGCCTTTCTCCGTGTGTGTATGTGTTAAAGAATGTATAGATGTACACATAAAAAATTTGTATTCTGGTTAATTGCTTTTAAGATTTGAAGTAAATTATAGCCGTACATCAAATTACTTTGTTTAGATTTGAGATTAGTACTAAAATAATCAGTTATAATTGACAAATGAATTTTGCCACGCAAACGAACTGCAGACTATATACATGACTTTGTCTAGAATGTATATTAGAACTACATGTAGATAAACAATTCACAATTATAGCTTATGAACATCAGTTATAATACCCCCCTCCCCTTTCAGCCGCGCAAATACCAAATAACTTCTCTTTCCACTTTTGATATTTTCCCTGACCAAAATCTGATCAGCACGGACTAAGTGTATCGTCGTGCTAGTGTGTACGGAGTAATGACAGTGTGTTTACTATTGAGCTTTTATGGAGTTTATTTCTTTTTTGTGATGCATATTTCAATAAATGGAATTCAGGGTGTATTTTACTTGACTTGTGCACATCTTTGAACCGATGCAGTAACCTTATTACCAGGTATGGGTACGTTTACAGCGTTCGAGGCGTTTTCTCGATATGCATCAATTGCATAGGACCTGCAAATCAAAGACGTTGGTTGTTTTGTTCCATTCAAATGATATAATTTCAAAATGTGTTTGCAAATTTTACTGCTTTTCATTTCAAGTTTATTCTGCATAAATTGGCGCACTGTAAAAAGTACGTACTCATGCATCTAAATTTCTCTTCCAAACTTGCATTTTTTTCTTTTGATTCAAATCAATAATCAATCAAAAATATGATTATTATGTTGTTTATTTTGCTTTTTAAATGTCTTGATCACCTCATGTGTTCTCATATGCTTTACCATCGGAGATGTGCACAAGTCGATACCCAATCCAAAAAATCATTCAAGTGTAACGAGCGCATTGGGGTATACATCGTTACAATGAGACAAGGTATCTGAAAGAAATATGGCGGAATACGGCTATAGTTGGTATGAAACAAGTCGTACATAGATGAAAATGTTGCGTATTTAAGAATTCATGTCAGCTTTAAGTTTTAATCTGGCACTTTAAATGCTCTGCACAAAAACAAACGCTAGGGTCCTCTTGACAAAGTCAATCTGTCTCTCCCGTGTTTGGATTGTCAAGTGTCAACAACATTTACCATGGCCATAGGGCTAAGTCTGCCAATAATTAAGACCATCCTGATCCAGATTCATAAATTAGTCTCTGTTTAGGTTCATGAATTTTAATAAGTATAAAAATCATACATCAGTAATTTGCTGTAACAAAAACAATTCTCATTTCGCACGTACACCATTCACATACACATTCAGAACTCTACCACTTAGCACTTTCTGGATCACATATAATATCACATTTGATGCAACTAATAAATAATGCCTCAACGAGAAAGGACAACAATTATAAAGTAAATGTCAGAACTGTTCAAAACAGCACTTTAAAGTTGCCCTAGAACATGTTTAACAAGCTATCGTACTATATGGATGTCAATGATGTCACACATACTCAAGCAAAGTACATCGAGTCTATGGTATTCATGTCCTTTTTGCAAAGTAATAAACACTCGTCATTGAACACTAAGGGCACAGAATTGCGGGAATAGCACTATAGTTCTTGTTCAGATCATCAAGTGACCATCGGATTTCTCCAATCATCAAGCACTTTACACGGAGCACCATTTACTTATTCAGATCATGGATTGGATGAACTTGTGGCATCCGGAATTCAAGTCTTCCAGGATTTGGTAGAAAACTCTGAATTCAGGGACATGGCCAAATATTGCATATCAGCATTGCCATATTTATGCAGATGATATAATCATCCCATCTTGCTTTCTTGTTTTACCGATTTGGCACGCTGACAATACAAATAGCAGTTCAATTGTCAACTGTTTGAGAATGGTTGATCTTGAGTATAGCTCGCCCAGTTATCCGACTTTGGTAAAGGTCTTCAAAAACTTGGTTTGCATCTTCAACATTGTGAATTGAAAACAAGGGTGGTTTGACCTGTGAAAATTCACAAAAGACGGTTTAATGACACTTAAAATTTTGAAAATTTATGCATTAGAAAACTTATCTGTCCTCTCCTTTCACATTTCTAGGGACTATATACCAATATAATGTACTAACCTTCTTTTCTGCTACAAGGTCAACCAATTCCAGCAGAAGTTTGAGGGACCCTTTTGGTATTCCTACTATACTCTGCTGCTTGGCTGCTAACACATTCAAGTTGATGCTAACTTCTGACATTGTGTTTCCTCCAACCAATATTAAACCCTCCTATAAAGTAACAGATGAATTCATTTAAGATCAATTACATTCATCCAGTATCAAATAATTAATCTATATAGAGTGGCTGGGCTTTTCATACAGAAAACTTTCAAGACAGCTGAAATGTACTCACTCTATTAAGGACCTTGAGAGTTCTGTGCACTGTTCTTGGAGAGCTGACAAAATCAATGACTACATCTACTCCTCCTTTGCAGGCTTCCAGAGTTCGCTCTATGATAAATTGCTCGTGATCTTCTTCATTCCAGTGAATGACGTCATAACAGCCGTGGTCTAGTGCTGTCAGCAGTTTGTCAATACTGTTGTCTGATACAAATAATTTGATGTTGGTCTGACTGAATTGGGAGAGCATGTAATTGGCCAGCTGCACTGCCCAAAGTCCTATGCCACCAGCACCAACAATAAGGACATTGATTCCAGCTGTAAAAACAGAAGACATATTTTAGTTTTGCAAAATAATAACCTTTTAATTGTTAACAGTAGAATTCGAAAAACTGCCATTTATATTTTTCTTCAAAAATATGCTTACATTTAACCTCCTGTAGTTTTTCTATGTGTGGTATGGCTTTCATTACTGCACTGTACGCTGTCAGGGCGCTTCCGGGTAACATAGCCGCTACTTCCAGGGGTATGGAGTCTGGGATCTGAATACATTTCTCAGTATCATCAACAGCTATGTACTCCTGGTAACCAGTCTCTGCAAAGTCTTCATCCAGATATAGAATGACCCTGTCCCCTGTGTTGAAGTTTCTGTTGGGTATTGAGGGGCACACATCTTGTACTACTCCAGCCACTTCAATGCCTGGCAGTATGGGGTGTAAATCCTTTCTCTTTATCTGCCCTTCTGGTGAGCAAGCTCCCAAGCACTGTATCTGTTAGATGAGGTAGAATATATTAATATCTCATTATCTTACTTTTTCCACAATATACATATTTTTAATTTTTTTCCAATACCCTGATCACGTGACTTTTTAAATAAGTACCAGTACTCACCCTAACCAGAACGCCCCCTTTGGGCATGCTGGGCATTGCCAAGGATGAGGAAACCTCGAATGGATTGCACAGGTCGTGACCTGGATGTCTATCCACCAACATTTCGTTGTCCAACATGGTTACTGCAAAGATAAAATACCCAAATTAGGAAATCGATCGTTATGATCTTCTCGATTCTAAAACGGATGTATTTTTTTTATTTTTCACATTTTTCTGTTACATTACTGTTTCTTATCAATCACGTACGTATTGCGTGTAATTTACGATAAGGCAGTGAAGACACTGAGCGTTACACGACGATACCTCTGTTTTTTAAAGCTGACCTCATAATCATTACATTACATGTGCATGTTTTGATCATGCACTCGTCATTGGATAATATGCGCATGCGTGTCAGTATCTGTTTACCAATATTTTTTTCGGCCAGGCCTATTTTCCATCGGTTATTCATCTTATAAAATGCGTATTGGCTCATTTTTTATCACTAATGAACATTCTAGACAAGGTCTAACACTGTGTCACGATTTCTATTTTCACCTTTCTTTATCAGCCGAACAGCTGATTACGGTAACATAGATCTGGGTCACAATAAACTTGTGTATTGGACAGACAAAAGACAGTGACTTAAATGTACATTTCTTAAGCTTGAAAAGAAAATATTCCCAGACAAATTAACACAAACTGATTAAGAATATTTTTGATAAAATACATCTAGCAGGAAACCCAACATTTTACCGTTATACTGTTATACATAGAATTTTCAATATAGGCCTAAACAACAGACCCAGTCCCAAATATAAAATGCTTTAGATTCTATTTCACTTTAATAGTAAAACTTAAACTTACCTTTGTATTATACAATAATGTATTCCTAAATTAAAACTTTTTCCAATGTTACTTCTTCGAGTTTCAGACGCTTAATGAAATCTGAAGGCCGCTTGTTTATATATGAACTCATGAAAACATCCCCTTTTCACGTGGACATGGAACTTTGTAAACATGATGGGGAAAATCGGTCATATTTCAGCCAATCAAACGCGCCCTTTACAACAACAGTGTCAAATATTGTCCGTTTCAAAAATCTACTGTTCGCGTATTTTGATTTTAGTAAGAACATCGCAGTTATCTACCTTTGATTGAATTACCTTAAAAATTCTTCTGAAGATTCGAAGATTTATAAAAAGGCAAATTAGGATGATCAAACAAAGAATTTTCATTAAGAAATAATTATGCAAATAGTTTAAATGCTGATCTATATAGAAAAAAATCAATACCTGCATGAATATTGATTAAAAATGATTTACATACTGAAAGTGTTCTTTAATCATAATTTCTTTTTGAGACATGTCATGGTTATATTGAACAAAATGAATTTATGACGGTATGTCTATGCCTACAATGGATCTGCAATAATACAAGATGTATCCTTAAATATGTTTAGTTATCATTATTTGGCGACAATATTTCCTCTGCAAAGAAAAGCCCAAATTGTTCGATTCAATTTATGAAATATATTTATTTATACTAAAAAGAGCATGGTTATAAATTTCTCGTGAAATACAATGGATCAAATATAAATCATTTTTAATTACTTATTCTTGCTGTATTTTCCCTTTTTGTGTGTAATTCTCAAATTCTTAAATACAACTCATCGAAGTTTTGCGCTCAGTGTACTCTGAAATGTGCAACATGTAGAAAATGTACGACCCCTTCTTAGTTCTTATGAGCCCCGGGAGATTTCTTGGCTAAATATCATCCAGTATATAACCATCGAGAGCCACAGTAATTTATAATCTACATAATTATATCAAAATTCTAATCAAGACAACAAAATTAATCCTCAACATAAAAATTGATTCATGAAATACTTCCGTATTGAACTTGGACCATGAAATACGATCTTACCTTGACGATTCCATGGCGGACGTCGAGTTCTATCCGTCAGGAGGGGCATCCATTGGATGCCGTCGTATGAAGCACGCTTGGACGTGATTGCTGCGTGCCATCTTCGTTCATTTCCAGGGAGAAAGTTGAAGGTCAAATCACTTTATGGGAAATGGGAAAGCTTTTTTTTTTTCATTAAAAATTCACGCATGTATTATTTTCACTTTCTAAATCACAGACAGAAACCTGTGTAAAGAAATCTTTTATGTTGACGCAGCACCAACTTGCACTTTATTATGTATAACCAGCAACATTGCTATGTTGATTCTTACAGAAATTCATAATTAAAAATATAGATTCAACATGGTATGTGTACGTAGTTCGCCCTAATCATGCTAATTTTCCCGGAATTCTGTTTTTTCTTGCACACATACAAAGCAAAACAATTGTTTATCTGTTCAATTATGCATTTTATTGTTTCAAATGAATATTACATATCAACAATAAAAAAAAAGTTCCAACAAAATATCAACAACTGTGTATAAAAAGTAAATGGATTTGGCACATTGTTCCATTATAATATCAACAATTGTATACAAAAGGAAATGGATTTGGCACATTAAAATCGATGAATTATTCCACCGCTGGTTTCTGTAAATCAAATTATTTATTAATCATAGCAACAATTTTTTTTTCATTTTACGAACACCCTCAAAGACAAGTCAAATGAACAGTCGCACTTAAAGAAAGATTTTAAAGTTGAACGAACCACTAAATTAGAGATCCAAAATGAGGAATAGACCAAAATGCGTTTGACAATTAAAATCTTTGAAAATTGAAACCCCTAAAAAAACCTCAAAACCCAACAAACTATTGCCAACAAACCATACTACTTTAACATCAAATGATAAAAAAAGAAAACCTTCTAGCAGTTTTGGACAACAGAAAAAAAATCTCACGGAACAAGTAATTTCTAAAAGGAAGATGCCAATATCCCTTATAAACACAATAGAAATTTTTTAAGTCATAGCAAACTGCTCCCCCGGAGATCACTACCAACGTGAAATGGACACAGTAGTACTTGTCTTGTTAGAAGGTAAGAGGGTAGATACATAAATTTATCATTGGTACGCCAGAATCATCTTCACTAGAACAGACAATACAGATTTGAGGTCTTCAAAAAAAATTATTTGAATCAAATGAAACATATATAAAAACTTCCAATAAAATAACAATAGAATCAAAATTACATGCACTAGCAATTGACCCCCATGATGTACGACTCTAAAACTTCCAACAGAAAACTAGCATCATTGGACCCCTTACAGCTGGCTACTTACACTGAAATTAAATTCTTCACAAACACAACTAGTAACAGAGACAGGTGCCCATCAACTGACTCTCTATACTATATAATGTAGGACTCAAATACTTCCAATAGAACATTAGTATCATTGGTAACGTTACACCTGACCATCTATACTAGAGTCAAATACTTCACAAAGAAACTTATAACAGAGACAGGTGCCCATCAAGCAATCTTCTATACTATATAATGTAGGACTCAAATACTTCCAATAGAACATTAGTATCATTAGTAAAGTTACACCTGACCATCTATACTAGACTCTAATAATTCACAAAGAAAACTAGTAACAGAGACAGGTGCCCGTCAACTGACCCTCTATAAAGCAGTCTGCATGGAACTCTAATAGTTCAAATACAAAATCAGATAGGTTCCCAAACAACTGACTTTCTATATTTAATTCCCTTCACAAGCATGTGTTGACATCTCTATATGAGTGAAAAAACAAACTCTCGAAACAACTTACGGTCAAACAATCAATCTATATAGTAGTGACTTAAAATATAGGGCTAGTATGACAGATGTTGTAGGTACCATAACAGCTGATCTCTGTATAAAAATCAAAGTAAGGAGCTCTTATATATCCCTACAATACCAGGGGTCTTGAGTCGACACTTTGCCGTGGTGAACGAGTTGACTCACGACCCCCTAGCATTGCAAGGATGACGTATTTAAAACATAACGCTAGCATGATACTGAGCAGATAGATGCCCTTACAATAGCTGCAATCATGCTGCCCTCTCCAATATCTTTTAATCCGATATTTTGGGGGGAAAATGGAGAGGGCTATATTACTGCAGCTATCCTTACAACTGGCGATCTACAAAGAACTCAAATACTTCAAATGGAAAACAAGTAACACAGATAAACATGCCTAAACAACCGAGTTTCTAAACACAATACCCAATATGATGCATCAATGGTGTGGAAGATCATTAAGGACTGTTGAAATATATTTTGAATCCATGAACTGTTGAATTCGTTAAAATTAATTTTGATAAAATAACCAGAAGTCTCTGTCGAGACTGAAGCTCTACTGGTTTGTACTTATAGCAAAGGAATTATATTATAATCAGACTTAAACTGCAGGAGGAGTAGCATTTTGAGATTTTTTAACAGAAATTTCTATTTTTAGTTACCATGGCAACACCGTTCATCGAAATCAAAAACCAATAAACAGAATTACGTATCTTAGTGTAGTCTACTTATGTGCCAAGTTATATTGAAATCAGACCAAACTTGTAGGAGGAGTAGCGTTTTAAAGGAACTTCACAGAATTTTCTATTTTTAGCAACAACGGCAACACCGTTCATCGAAATCAAAAACTGATAAACAGAATTATGTATCTTAGTGTAGTCTACTTGTATGCCAAGTTATATTGAAATCAGACCAAAACTGTAGGAGGAGTAGCATTTTGAAAGAATTTCATAGAAATTTCTATTTTTAGTAACAACGGCAACACTGTTAATCGAAATCAAAAACCGATATACAGAATTATGTATCTTAGTGTAGTCTACTTGTGTGCCAAATTATAATGAAATCAGACCAAAACTGTAGGAGGAGTAGCATTTTGAAAGAATTTCACAGAAATTTCTATTTTTAGTAACCACGGCAACACCGTTCATCGAAATCAAAAACCGATACACAGAATTATGCATCTTAGTGTAGTCTACTTATGTGCCAAGTTATATTGAAATCAGACTAAAACTGTAGGAGAAGTAGCATTTTGAAAGAATTTAACAGAAATTTCTATTTTTAGTAACAACGGCAACACCGTTAATCAAAATCAAAAACCGATACACAGAATTATGTATCTTAGTGTAGTCTACTTGTGTGCCAAGTTATATCGAAATCAGACCAAAACTGTAGGAGGAGTAGCATTTTGAAAGATTGTTTACAGACAGACAGACAGACAGACGGACACGACGGACGCATTACTATCGCATAAGCTCTTCTGGTCTCTGACCAGTAGAGCTAAAAATATGGATTTTATAAAATTGTCGTCGTTGACCTCCCATTTTAAACTGCATTAATTTGGCAAAAACAAATCTATCAAAATATTAACAAAAGTTACTGATTGTTTTCGCAATTTACACCCCTTTTAAATAAATAAGTAACTTCCAACATGGTTTAAAATCTTAAAATTTGTTTACAGAAAAATTATCATTCCTTATCAAAAGTTTTATAAAAATATTATAACAGCTTTTACAAATGAGAAAATCAAATTTAAAAAAATTGCAAATATGAATTTTGAGATTCATTAATTTGAATTTAATTTAGCAAAACATATTATGTATTTTTTAATATTCAATAACTGTTTATAAAAATTCAAATTACCCAACGATAAGAGCTTTTTGTTCTACATGTATGAAATTGATCTTAATGCAATTAAAATATCACAGTGAAGGGCAAAGAGACGGTCCTTCGCATGAAGCCATACAGATGAAGCTACTGTACTGGTATGCACATGACGTCATCCCTAAAGTGCTAAGTACAAAAGCACCCTTCCATAAAAACTGATGGCATCTCATCTTCGCTAGCCAAGGGTTAATGAGGAGAGTAGCATATCAGAAACTGTTAGCTAGCAAAGATGATTGCATCTAAACATGAGTCAAGAATTTCATGGATGCAAAGCAAGCGATCAAATGAATTCAATGATTTCCATAATTTTTTTTGAATGAATTTCAGTTTCTTTCTAGGAATTCAACAATTCATTATGTCAGAACTATATTTCAATAGGTCCTTAAAAGGGCTCTTCATTTGAGGGCAATCAAGGTAAATAATTTTCCTTCATGTGATACAACTATAAATTTTGATAGGTCAAATATGCTTACTTAAAAAAGAAAGCCTTATAGGACTATCAGTATTAAACCCTGAAAAACAAACTTGGATTATTATCTTATTGCCATTATCATCAGATCAAACATGCCAAAAATATTAAAAATATTTAAAAATCTTAATCAAATTATAAAACAATACATGTATTTGTTGACCATTGTGCAATCCTCAACATGAGTATTTTTTCTCACTCATTTTTTTAGTAATCTGCCTTAACATCCCTTTTTAGCTTGAGAAAAAAAGTTAACGACAAAATATCAAAGCATTACAAACTTATTTTCTGCAGACTAATCTCTTTTTTGTCTTTCTCAGGCTTACCTTAAATACATGTGGGTTATATCATCTTCACATCTGGTCTTATCTGTTATCTATAATTTTGTTAACCTTCATTTTGAAGACAAAAACAGAAAGGGAAAAAAAATGAAGATAGGCACCTTCTGCTGTCCAATCCGTTTCTATTAACAAAATGTGTTCAATTCAAACTAGCTACATAACGGGTTTAAGTATATTTCTCCAAGAAAACTTAACCTTTTACCTAATATTTCTAATTTTTTATTTAAGGCAATCTAAGAATGTTACTTGTAAACTTAATTTCAACTAGAGAGTGATATTACAGCCAAAAGGCTCCAATGATCTTCCAAAAACATCCTTTTAAAAAAGAAACTTACTGTACTTAAAATTATCCAATATACAACCAGCAATCATTTGTTCTTGGGAGTGTGGAAAATATTTTTAAAAAGAAATTCTGACTCCATGTACGTGTATTTAAAAATATTTCAGTACCTTTTAAATGTTGCATTCATTTAGCAGCTCTGTCTTCAAGTCTGCAAGGCCGTAACTACCATTGAGGCAAGTGAGGCAAATGCCTCACTAAATTTTAAGAGTTTTCTGAAAAGTGAAAAAGTTTTACATTGAACTTATGAATTATGTGTCTCTTTGTGCCAAATTATATTTTCAACTTTTGTTTCAATTTCTGTAAATCGTTCATTTCACCAGGCGCCTCGTTTTCATTTAGAACGCATGTAAAATACAATTCAAATGTTTGTTTTGTAAATTATTTTATCGTTTAACATCCCTTATAAAAATTTCTTATTCATATTGAGACACCACTGCTTGTCGGTGGAGAGCTGCAAGTTTTAAATCTGTCCTGGACTCTCATGGTCACTGAAGATGATTGAACAGTGAGGTATACTTTTTGTGCCATCACTTACTGTGACATAGTACCTCGGTTTTTACGGTCTCATCCGATAGACCAGTGTCATCCAAAGGATCGGTCTCTACATCCCGCAGTGGGATTCGAACCCGCGATATAAGGATCAACTCCTTAGTGTGTGACTCTAGAGCATAAGCTCTAACGACTGTGCCATGCGGGCGACAATTCAAAACGTAAAAACTTTCCAATATTAATTTTTTTTATTTTCTAATACCCAGGTTTCTGGCCCCTCCCTCTGGAAACCCCCATTGTATATTGGCCATCAGGTACTACCCTTGGATTAGAAATGCTCTTCACCCTTGCCTCACTAAAAATTTGAGCCTAGTTACGGCCTTGGTCTGTCTTCTTTAATTAAAAACTTGCATGAAATCTAAAGAAGATGTTTTTATGAAAATGTACAACTAAACTTGCTGTTGATCATCAAATTTTTGTGACGGCTTATTTTGGTCAGAAATTTATTTTGTAATTTAAGCAAGAAAAAAATCTTTATTACTCTATATTTGTGTTAAATATATGTATTACATATTATCATGCAAATAAAATCAATTTACAGTAAACACTTACCTTCAATTTTTAGCGGCCTTTCTGAATTTTTTTTCATCATGTAAAATATAAGCCTTTAGTGCAATGTCTTACCTAAATGCCAAATGCTCTAGTTGATAAAAAAAATCAAATTGATATACAATGTGTATATATAGCACCTGAAACAAATAAATAGTTAGAACGCATTAAACATTATAACTGCAATTTTCAAACATCAAAGCAAATAGTCACAAACCGTAACTACTGTACACTGCTGCTGTATGTGTAACCAATATATAGACAATAACAATCACATATATGTGAAAAGATCAACTTTACCTAAAAAATAAGTAATACAGTAGGAAAATAATGCAACATTATTATAGTCATTAAGTACATTATCAAAAAAATATTTCTGAACATGGATGATCTGATGAAAAATAGCATTCAAAGAATGCAGATACAATACTTAATAAAATCACAAAATATTTCTTTAAAAATACAAATTTGTATACAGTAGCACCATAAATAGTGTGAAAAAACCACACAAATTTAAAAAAATAATAATAACAAAGATATAACAATTAATAACAAAGATATAAAAAATAAACATGATAAAGTTTCTGCATTCTTAAAAAATAAAAACAAACATTAATAACAACTGACAATTAAGTTATGCATGGGTATTTTATTTTCTTAACAACTTTATGGTTTAATGATAATAGCTTACACTCATGGAAAAGAAATTCCCAATTATGACTACGTTTCCAGTTCCTATGTAAAATGTATCTAAATTTTCACAAAAATAATATTTGGATGACAACAGTCATAAACGAGATCTTAATAGATATGGTAAACATGATTCGCCACTTAGAGTCACATAACAATAGTATCAACAGTCACAAAAGTTTTAATTCATTCTTAACATTGAATTCATTATGGTATGTGGTATGGTATCATGATCATAAAATCAAAATAAAAATTGTTGGAAATTAATTCTTTTAACGAAGTCTCAACTAATTAAATAAAGATTAAAGAAGGCAAAAGGTTTTCTCCTTTATACCTTCATTTATGACCGGTAGTAAATATCTTGTTAGAATTTTTTTTGGATGCTTTGTTTTTATCAAGGGTAAAGTTTTCATGTGTTTGTGTAGAGTGTGTGTTTTAACTTTGCATGTAAATTTAATGTATAGCAACATTTAATAGTAGTATAAATTGATTAATCTAACGCATTGTTCTCGTATTATGTACTCTCTCCTTTATTTCCTGGCATTCACAATTGGGAAAAACCAGTTTCTAAAAAAAGGATAGATGAGTCTCACACAATAAACTCCATTAAAAGTTTCATCCATCTAATATCTTCATTGATTCTTTTAAGGCATAGAGAAAAATCCTTATCACAAGAAACACAGTGTGTCCATTGCATATTTCTTCTTCATTGTTTATTCAATAGCAAATCCTCTAGAAGCAGTTCTATTTCCATTTAGTTCATGTGTCACTTAAAAAATATTCTTCTGTTTAACAATAGTTCATTTATCTGTGATATCAACATCCTTTCATACATGTAAATCCATCAAATATCTTGATTTAAAACTTGTAATAATTCCAAATTTGGCTTTTTGAAGGTTTCAACATAAATTTCTGGTGCGGCAATCATTTACAAAGGAGTTGGCAGTGTGTGTATGTGTGCTTAAAGATTTTTAAGGGGTATACTAAATTTAGGTTGACTAATGAATTGTAATTTGAAAATTTCACTCTGACAAGGTACAAATATGTATAACTATCTGACAGACTTTTCTCATAAAAAGGAACCCACTAAAATGTTATTTCTCCCAAGTAATTGAGAATATGGCACAATATCCTGCAACAGTCTTTCAAGTATAAAAATTAATCTTGATTTTTAATACAGCCTTTCATCCTATTTAAAAAAGAACTTCTACATAAATCTAATGTTGCTGCAAATGGAATCAAAACTTCTACTTTCATATTCCTACAAACAAAAATACACCTGGAAACATTGAGGAATCTATCTATTTTTTTTTTAACTCATTTGCATTTCTACAATGAATATTTTAAGTGTTTTTTTTCCAAAAGCTTGCTTTATGTAACTAGGCAAAAGCACAACACAGTTCCTTATTTAGTCTCACATGTTAGGAAATCTGACAATTTTTCTTTAAAACTTGAAAGGAACCCACAAAAGCCAAAAGAAAAAACACTCATCAATTTTTCATTTACAAATTTTCAACTCCTGCATTACTTAAGTTTTATTGAAAATGATGAACCTAGGGCAAACTGGCACGAAATTTCTCATCCAACAGCATTATTTTACTTACAGCTTAGGTATTAAGATCTTTAACATTTTTAAAATATTATCAAACTAAAATTATTTAACTCATTTAATATTTGACTTTCTCTCTGCATACTGATCTCACTTGAGTACCCAAATATAACTTTTTTTCTTAACTTTAGCTGAAATGAATGATGTTAAAAAAATTCCCATCACTTTTAGAATTGTTCTGAAATTGTTTTTAGTTTTTCCCTTTCTTTTTTTTTTTCTCGATTTTCTTTTATTTTATGTAAATAAATAAATGTTTATTGAGCATGATAAGCTTATCAGAGAAAACAATTTTTTTAAGAAACATTCTTAAATCTATTATTTTAAAGAATTGCTAGTCAACATGGTTAACATGGTTAAGTCTTAAGTTTTGATTTATTAAAATTAAAAAATTTACACTCAATATAAATCTTTTTAAAGGAAACTATTTTTTCTATTATTACATGCATTAAACTTCACACATCAATTTAACTTCATAAAACTGCTGCGTTTCTCTCTGGCTTTTTAAATTCAGTCATCTTGAAATATTAGAAATTTGGAATATTTATCAAGGGGTTGTGTCTGTTTCAAAAAATAACATTTAAATGTCTGCAGGTAATTCATCAACAAGTGTTAAATTACAATGTGATAAATAACTATTTGCCACTTCACAATGAATAGTTTTAGCATTTCTGAATGGGGCTAAAAAATATTTTAACCTTGTTATAATTTTCGAGTTATACTGAGAAATCACAAATTTTCATGGTTTTCATTTTTGTTGTTTTTGAGGTATGAAGAGACCCACAAATTCATGTCCACAAGGAATGTAAAATGTTAAATACATAACTACTCAACAATTCTCAACCATGAAAATCAAATCCCAATGAACCAAGAGTTTTTATTAGAACCATGAAAATTTGACCCCACAAAAATATGTGATTTTACAGTGGCAACTTTTCTCGGTATGCTGTACATAAATTTCCCCTTTTTAGTAATTAAGCCTATTTAACAATGAAAAATATTATTGAAGAAAATTAACTGGTAATCTACTCCTGTGCCTCCTCATGTTTTCTCAAAATAAAGTTAAACCAGAGCGTTAGGATTTCATTATATCTGAGTATATTCCTTGACATTATACCTCAAAAGTTTCATAGATGTTCTAACAAATGGGGATGGGGTGGTGGATGTGTCAAAATTTATCAGTTATGTTGGATAAGGTATATTCAGCAGCTATCGATAAAACTCAATGTTCAAATTATAAAACTTGATGTTCAAATAAATGATGTTTCTTAACATGTACCACCTTGTCAGTGAAATCTTTTTAAAAAAATGTTTAGGGAGATCTTAAAAATTCTTATGTACTGTTGTCTTTAAGGTATCTTTAGATAGAGTAATACATACAATGAAGCTAAATATTTGAATGAAATCAACTACATGATTATGTACAACTTTCAACTTGACTTCAAGTTGACTTTCAATAGTAACAAATATCCCCTAACTAACTGAATGACAATTAGACCGAAGTTAGTTGTTAGAACTTCAGAATTCCTAGGAAGATAGTGATGTTTAATCCTGGCTCTGTACTCTGCTAGAAGAAGCTGTCCTCAATGAATTTGATATGGATCCATCCCCTGATGCTCTTTTATGTTCAAACTGCCTAACCTTTCACAATCAGATCTCTAATGGGTAGTTTATTTTAGTAATTTATCAGTGACACGAGGATTGTTGACAAGTCCAGAAGTGTCCTACGATAAAAAGTAGTTGATAACTTGATATATTAACTTTTCTCCAAATGATTTTTTGAATTTTATTTCCTGAAATTTTGACAGACATAATGATTACAGAACAGACAAGTATTACCTGTTGTATTTCTCAGCAAACAGTGATGCGTGATTTGCATTCATGAATGTCACCACTGCATCTTTCTGGTCTCTTTTTATGCTCTGAATAAGACAAAGAGATGAAAATCTGGTCATTGTATATTGAATGACTATATTTCTGTAAAAAAACACAACTGTTCAATGTCCTATGTTACAGAACTGTTTTTCCAGTATATAGAAACCTTTTTAAGAACTGTACAGAATATCGCACAACTTGAATATCTAATGTTATAGTTTGAATTTTAAAAATGAAATATGCCAAGGTTTCATTTACATGTATATTAAAAGGATTTTAGTGTTTATAAATAACATACCTCTACTGGACCCACTGTTGTGCAGAGATTCTTGATGATGGAGTCTGATGTAGAAATAGACAGATTCTTCACCATCACTGATTTAGGAGTGGATTTCACAACAATTCTCTGAATATAAAAAAAATATTTTTCATGTTTAGTCAACCTGACAAATTTCTTGCATATACATGTAAATAAAAAAGTCTGATATCTCACTAGCGTAATGTTATACAGTGTACTTAAAGAAGATGGGCGCATTTGGCGGGTGATCTGCAGGAATCATTTGTACGAAACATTTATGGTTTAAATGTCCATGATCTGGTTGGCTGAACATACCTGGTCAGATTTTACGAACACGTCCATGGGTTTTTTTTTTCATTTAGTTTGAAAGACATTGTGAAATTGTAACATTTATGTCCATTTTTTTCTAGGAGGTACTATAACATAGTAATATTTCACAAAAAATAAAACCTAAAATATATTTAATGCATAGATGCATGATACGTGTACATGTACATTATAAAATAGAAGATTAGAATTGATTTCGCTTGAGAACCAAACTGAACCAAAATTTATCTAATTCAAAATTTTAATACATCAGTACATAAAACGAGACTGACAAAAAAATTGGTTGCTTGCCTGAATAAAAAAAAATTAACGCCCCATCCCAGGCTCGAACCAAAAACTTTTCGCTTCGAGTGCACTGAACAGATAGCTTAACTTTCTGAGCTATCACCGCTACACATCTACAATTGTCTTTAAAAGGACAAAGACGCACCACATTGACACATTTGGATTTTTTTGGGAAAAGTTCATTTTTCGTGGTCTCTGGGTCTTCTCTCCATTTTTAAAAAAAGTGTAATCGTTTCTTTGAATTAAAATACACACAAATAACGTTTCAAATTCATGGAGAGAAGACCCAGACATAGAAAATTTTTAGAAAAATGTGTTTCAAAACGTACAATTTTGTACCAAATGTCTGATATGGCCAATTTTCAAGTTATTTTTTAGCAAATCAAAGCTCAATTTCGGGAAAATATTTTCCGTTTCTGTTGCACAGGAACCAGATAAATTAAAAAAATGTTAAAATTTCATGTGACATTTCAATAAAGTTTTCACTTTTCAATTACGCCCAGGTTCCTGCCGAATGCCAATCAAAAGCGCCCTCGTTCTTTAAGAGTGAATCACAATTCCTTACCCTCCCAGTAGTTTGCTGACTGACCACATTTCTGAGGTCCCCTTCCTCGCCCTGCCCACTGTCTGGAGTTAATCTGATGACAGACCGGTTGCCGGACCCTGGGGTGATCACTGACCTGTTCCCGCTGACCACAGTTCTGTTTCCCACTTGCTGACCCTCAGTAGAGGTGACCACGGTGCTCTTCTTGACCACCTGGACCTGCCCCCGATTTGTGACCGAAGTCTGCTCACTAATGACCCCCTCATCCTCTATAGGAACGAGCTTTATTTCTCGAGATATGATTTCTCCTTGAGCATTTTTCTTTACAGTTTCTATCCTCTTCATTAGTTTCTTTGTAGGACTTGCTAGAGTTTTGTTGGTTGTCATTTGAGCATTTGCTGGTTTATGAACACCTTTATTAAGGTTCACAATTTTTTTCTGAGGATTCCTCTGAGGGGGGTGGGAGACCTGAGTATTCTGAAATCTGATTTGATTTGACTGCACTGTTTGGATCTGTTGACCAGCTTGTGGGGAGTGTATAGGTTGTATTGTCTTTTTAAGAGCCACATTGCCCTGTACTGGTTTATTATGAACCTGTTGTTGTATAAGACCACTTGAAGTTGAGCTTTGCTCAATGTCTTCTAATGTCTGACCTAAAAGTAAGCACATCAAAATATATTTGTTAAATATCTTTTAATGATGAGAGCATTTTTCCTTTTTAATAAAATTTGAAGAATAGGGATTAAAGTAAAAAGAATGACTGATAATTGTACAAGTACCATATTATAGCACTCAAAGAAAATACAATAAGATGAAAAACTAGAATGATGGAATCTACTAAATTTACTTGAATTTCATAAATACTGTGAAATCACTGAATATGAGGAGATTATTGTTCATGAGTTACCAAAATTTTACTGCTTCTAGGGGATGCATTTTCACAATACCCAAGTTTCGAGATTATCTCCCTTGGTGCTCTCTTTCGTTAAGGAGGGGAGTTTCATTGCCGCGTAAACAAACAAGTGGGACAACTATATTTGATATTTATATATTGGATACATTGTATCATCGATATACTGGTTTATCATAACTACATGATTGTCAGGATGCACTCTACATTTCGAGAATAACTGAATTAATTTAAAGAAGTCATTTTTTAAAGTTAAAAAATCGTAACAAAAAAGAAAATGTCGGTGGATGTGAGACTTTTCAGACGAGGGAAGAAATTAGGACCTCTAATAAAATTGGTACACATGCATCTGATCATTGTACGTAGGCGAACTAAATGACACATTGATTCTTTTCCTTATTATAATTTCAAAAAACCCACAAACTTTAAAAAAAAAAAAAGGTTGTACGATCAAGAAAATCGGTTACTTTTTATTAAGACTATGACGTTTCTTTCGTTTTCAAGTACCTATAATTTAAAGTAGATTTGTAAATATGCATAGTTGAACTTGATAAAATCATCAAATGTATCACTGCTTGATATCATTATCTTTTTATAACATTTAATAAATTTTAAAAGCCATAAATATCGTTCATTTACTTATGCACGTTTGTGTACAGAAACAACCTGTCCCACCTCCCTGCCGAAATGGATACTTTTTGCGCCTCTATCGAAGGAGAGTTACAATCTCGAAACTGGCGTATTAGCTCATATGTTCAAGAGACTCAATAAATAAATGTGAACAGTGTTTTCCCTAAGAACCGGCTACCGGCCAAATTGACCGCTTCAATTGACAAAAATGCCGCTTTGAAATAAAAATTTGTTGTTAGGTCCACAGAGATTTTGTTCATAAACCTCAGCCCCTAGCCTGTTACAACTTATCTGTAACCCTTTAGTTTGAAATAAAGGGAAAACACTGGTGAAACGGTTTGCTTAGTAAATTTTATTTATAGTCGAACTATTTACGTATAACAAAAAACATGAGCTTTAAAGTTCATTTACCGATGTGGATATGGTGTTCTGAATTTCTCGTTAAGGATGATCAATGAAAACCACTAAATGAAGATGACTTCAAAGAACTACACTTTGCATATAGAAGTAGTACCTGTCCCTGCTAGCCGCTGAGCTAACTCTTCTCGTTTTTTCTGGGCCAGTGCTTGTCTATTAGCCTCCTTTTTTCGCCTTATATATTCTCTCTGTTCAGCCTGCAGTGCTAGCTTTTCCTGTAGCTCCTTGTCCTCTGGAGTCTGATAAAAAAATTTCAACATGTAATTCATGATATAAATATTCATGTAGCAGTCCATGTTCTGTCAAAACCATTAAATTCATTCAAATCCGTTTTATATCACTTCTATTCTGTGTTCAACTTGGTTTTGCTTGTGGTTATTCTAATCTTTTTATAAACAGAATTTGTCTCTGGTAGAACTTGTTGTGGTCTATTTATTATTTTTTCAGTTCTCAGATAATTTTCAAATTTTATTCTGCTGTTGAAATACACTGAAATAACACAATGATAGGGATGTATGCATTATCAATTCAATGCACTGAAGTACTTACCAATGGTTTGGTTTCTACTTTTGGTTGTTTTACTGGGGAAGGCTCGATACTTCCCTCCACTATCACTTCTGTTGAGGGCCTCTTCTTAGGTTTACTGGGGACTACTATAGGTGTATTCTGTGAAAATTTCTTTGCACGGTCTCTCAGCTTTTTGGCATGTGCCAACAATAAAGCATTTTGTTTTGGACTGAAAGAAAATTACACACCTCTTTAACAACTACAACATTTGGAAGATCAATTGTTCACATATCCTTTCAGCTACTAACATATCAAATGATCAAAAGACTGTATCTTGAATTTCTTCTTTTTTTTTTTTACAAAGTAGCAGTAGGTATCATACAGGGAACAAGAACCTGCTTTAAATAAAACTGCACTATAGATACATGTACAATACAAACCTGAACTATCCTTGACCTACATCACAGATAATCCCTTTGATAATCCACGACTTACTTGTTAATAGGTTGTCTAGGTGCTCCATTATTCTGTACAGTATTGGGACCTTGAGGCATTCTCTGTCCCTGAGACTGAAATCTCTGGGGTCGGGTCTGATACCCTGGGGCGGCCCCCGGCTGAAATCTCGGAGGCTGCTGCTGTGTCTGGTGAGGGGGGTGGAAATCGGGTCTGACGTGCGGCTCTGGGGCGTGTTGTGGGTTAGGATACCTGTATTCACACATACAATTTTCAACATGTAAATCATTCTTAAAGGTCAATTACAAGGCTCAATATAAAACTTTCAAATGATCCATCATTCAAGTCCTTGAATTTTTTATTAAACCTGATCATAAATACAATAGACTTGACCACTTTCTTTTCTCCGTCTTTAAGATATTAAAATTGTTTAATATAAAGTACGTGTATACTTCATTCTCCTGGTAGTTTGATTGTGTATTTACCTATGTTCTTGATGATGTTGTGGATTGTAATGTTGATGTTGTGGTGGAGGTCCACTGTGAGGCTGATGGGGTGGGGGTCCCATCCGTACATGGGGTGGATGCTGGGGTTCCACCCTGAGCTGAGGTTGTTGGGGGTGATGGGGGGCAGGAAACTGATGGTTGGGTTGTCCCATCAGTGGTTGTGGTGGGGGCCCGGAGGGACGGTACTGCTCCCTTGGTGGGTACTGCTGTCCATGGAAGGGAGGGGGGCCACCATGTGGTGCCTGGTGGTGGTGAGGTCCCACGTAATGGTGGGGGGCCTGATGAGGATGAGATGGCGGTCCACCAGAGAATGCTGGGTAGGGATCATTCTGCCTTGGAGGAGGCTGATGAGCTAATAAGGAGAAAATATGTGTCAAATGTCTAATGAATAGAGTTTACCATGAACCTGTATCCAACATGATTGTCTTCATGTTTGACTTGTTTCTGTCTTTATACAACTTTTAAATCATGTCCTTGTTATTATCATGTGGTGATAAAAATTCCTGGAGAATGGCCTTGAAGTAATGACATATCTGACGTATATCAAACAAAGGGGGTAGACATGTATTTTATGATTTTGCAAATGCTTAGAGTTGTCTTTCTTTTAATAGAATTTAAGGTAATTTAGTCCATCTAGGGTGAATTTTGTCAATAAATGATGATTAAATGAAAAAAAAAATTCAGAAATTTCATTTCAAAGTTTTCTAAATTTTAATCAAAGATGATTTTTTTTAATGTGTATGTTTACCTAGCATTGAACACAGTTTACCATGCATCAAACACTTTCAAATGCATGCAACCCCTCCCCAGCCCCCCAAGTGAGGCCAAAGTGCAAACTGTGATATTGCCATCTAAGGTGAGGTGGAGCAACTAAATTCGCTTCCCATTTGTGGATAAATATAGTTGATCCAATTAAAATAACAGATTAAATTATAGTCTTAACTGTATATTAGATGAGATAAAACACCTGGTAATTAGGAAATATACTTGTCCCTTACTGGTAAAACTGGAGGGGACAATAGGTTTCCTCTCTGTCTGTCCGTCCGTTTGTCTGTCTGTCCCGCTGTCAGTCTGTCCCACTTGGTTTTCCACACTTTTTTTCTAAATGCTTGCAGATATTGAGCTGACTTTTGGTATGTGATTGTATCTTGATGAGTTACAGATCAAGTTTGAATTTCATTCCGCTTCATCGATTTTTGACGGAATTGTGGTATTATTAATTTTTCATAATTGGGATTACGATTGGGTTCTGATGCACTAAATCAAAGTTCCAAACGAGATTGTATCCTCTAGAAAATAGGGGAAGTCGTTAGGGGACATGTATTGCTTATGCAATGCTCTCGGAATGCCTGCTTCTTTACATTAGTTTTCCTTTATTAAATGTCACTAAACAACAGTCATTTCTGCTCATTTAAACTTCAATGTCTTCAAAAAATTTCTTCAGGAAGTATGGCAGGCACCCAACATCGAAGAGGGTCTAGATAACCTGTTTATGTACGTCTTTATCCCCCCTCCCCCAAACACATTCACTTTTCAACAGTGTTACTGTAAACCAACTATTATTTGTATTATCCGGGGACGACAAATAGATTTTGCCCATGGGCAAGTGCATGGTCTAATTTCCCTTGTCCTATTTCAATTTTTACTTGTCCCACCGTAAACTATAAATTAAAGACAACACTTATGACAAAATAATTTCAATTTCATTTTAAACAATAAAACATACTTCCCTTAATTCTTTTCTTGTTGTGTACTATCCAGCACTTCATAATCATCACAATGAATTATTTCCTCATTAAATCGAAACATTTTACAACCTCGAACATGTTGTTTTGATTATTGGTGATATTTAAAACCCCCTGCCAGCATAAAGTACTAAGTACCATACAGGCTGTTGATTGATTGGTTGATTGTATGTTGATTTATGTCCTTCAAAACTGTCAAAAGTTTCTCCATTTCTCCAATGCCAATTTAAGAACAAATACATGTACTTAAAACTTTCGGTAAATGAGACATGATTTGATGACAAAATTAAACTGGTTTGCATACGAAGAGTGACAATCAAAGGAAGATAACTCTTACAACAAAATAATTTCGATTTTGTGTACAACTATAACATTTTGAATGATTTATTTAAAGTCACTTGCCCACAGACAAGTGCCTATTAAAAATCCACTTGCCCACCTCTAAAATTCACTAGCCAAGGGTGTCAGACAATTGGGATTTGTCAGCCCCTGATCATCTTTTGTGATTTCACTGATTTGTCAATTTGATATCAATTAATTTTCATGACTGAGGAAACATTCTCTGCAAAGCACAATATTAAATGATTCACAAGTTAAAGTAGGTAAGGAAACTCGTGGATATTTTTTGTGATTTCACAAGAGTTGGTTACAGTAATCTATAATCTCCATGACTTACCTGCGTAATGATGATGGGGTGGGGGATCCGGCATTTGGTGGGGAGGCAGTGGGTGTGGAGGTCTGCTGAAGATTGGTTGAGGGTTAGATTGCGAGGTCCAAGGAACACTCTGTCAGAATTCAAATTAAACCTCCTCTAGAATTAATCTTTTCAATCTTAAATGCTCATGAGTTTCTTCTTAAAAAGAACTTGAATAAAACTAAAATAACTTAAATATAAGACTTTTAAAAAAAACTCACAAGAAAAATAAAATCTCTGACATGAATACGGAATTTCTACCTGTGGTACAGATTGCACTATGGGAGCTCTGGGCTGTAGCATCATGGAGGGTTCCCTGGGTCTGAGCAGAGGGGGTATCCCCGGGGTCGCCATGATGCTATCTCCTTGTCTGGGAGGGAGCATGGACCCTCGTCTAAAATGAGGGTTTATGTGAATCTTCTGGGGAACTGAAGCAGGAGGAGGGAGGCTCTGGAAACGTAATTATGATAAAAGAAGTTACAACTTTTCCTTTTTATGAAATCATTAAATGTGTCCTACAAACACAATGAAATTTTTTTAATCAACAAGAGGCCCATGGGCCTTATAGGTCACCTGAGTATCATGTAACAACTTTCAAATAATTAAAATTGGTTCGTGTTTTACCCCAGAGGCCATGAAATTCACAATTCACAATTTTGAAAGAGGCACCATTGCTTATCATAATTATAAACTTAGCATGCTTTCTCTATTTACTTAATACCCAGAGGTAGATCAGAGTAACAAAGAGAAAATGCACTTCCACTTTATAACCAGTTGTGCACCTCACCCCAAAGGAACCACTGACCCTGGGGCCACATATTTCAAAATTTTGCAAATTTTATCATAAAATGGTTGATTAATACTAAAGAGCAGATTTCAAAGCATTAATTTATTTGCAGACTTTGTAACTCCCCCCCCTCCCCCGACCCAAGGGGCATAAAAAATAACCCTTTTGCTAGATGCACCTTTCTTCATAACAAATATATATATACTTAGATCATTGGCAT